ATTCAAGACATAAATTTTATCCCTTTATAATTATTTTTCTTCTTTTCATCTTTACTGTAATTACCCACTGATTATTAATCACTCTGCCTACCTTCTACTGAATTGCAATTTTCATTTTTCATATTTTTTTATTCAACTCTTTTTTGATACTAATAGAACTAGGAACAGATAATTTGTCAATTCTATATAGGAGCCTCCAGCCGGGTACAGATAACTTGTTAGTTCCATAAAAGAACCTCCGGTCTGGGTACATATTGTACACTTGAATCACAGTATTAATGTCACAATTATTTGTCAGAGGTAGACAATCATTCATAGTGCAAAGACATAGCATTCGTAGAACAGATCTTATTCCATATATAGAAAATAATTTAACTTGAATATAGCTTTACTAAATTATTACTTACAGATAACAGATGGCTCCAAGTAAACAGACAGAGTAGGCAATTCAGATATCTTCTGGCGCGTGACCTACACAGATACAAAATAAATACGTACTAAATTACACACCTAGAATCATTAACTTGGTTCTTTCTTGTTTTGGTGTGTTTTTACTTCTTTATCCTCATTAGGGTGTCTTAATCTTGGCCTAGGAATGCCTAGGATGCAATAAGGATGCTAAAATGTACTTAAAAACACTTAACAAAAATTGCTGAAAACAGGGTTCTCGCTTGAGCGCAATTTTCTACGCTCGAGCGGACATGCAAAATGTGAGTTGTCGCTCGAGTGCAAGATCTGCCGCTCGAACAGTCTGTAAACTTTTGCAAAAGTGATAGTTGCTTGATTTTTCCGCTTGATGCTCCCTCGAACGTGAGAGACATGCCCTCGCTCGAGCGTAACTTTTGTCGTTTAAGCGGCCTGCAAAACATAAGAACTTCGGAGAGCATGCATTTCACGCTCGAGCGGACTTCTGGTTACTCGAGCGGAAGTGCACGCACTCAGAGTGGTCGCTCAAAACGTGGATTCCTTCGCTCGAGTGTAGGAGCAGAATTCTAGAATTTCCAGATTTGCTTCCAAACTTAAAACTTAAATTCAAAGTTGTAGAACATGGTCTCTAGGGCCAAAAACTTGAGGAAACTATAGGAAACACTTATAAATGGTAAAACCATAGTGAATTCAAAATCATTTCACAAAACTAAAGCTCAAAAGCTTGTCAATTATACAAAACCAAACTTGAAATGTTGAAAATAAGACTTGCCTATAATGGTATGAGTTTTAACCTTCCAAACCATAATCAAATGAGGTAAAAACATGTAAAATGTGATGAACTTCCAAAATCAAGCCATGATCAATGCATGCATGTGTGACTTTCTCAAAATCAAGCTTTAAATGCAAAAGAATTTGCATGCAAGTATGATTATCTTCTTAATTCTTCTTCCTAAGCTTAATTCTTGGCTTAATTAACTAACTCTCTTGAATTCATGCATTAAAGACTACAAATATACAACTAAAGGAGTGAATTTCTACCTCAAGCCTTGAATTCTCAGAAAACATATGAAGAGGCTTGAGCGCAACTTCCTTCGCTCGAGTGGTCTGCAAGATTTAGAAAAGTACTGGTTGTGTGATTTTCACGCTCGACAGTTGCTCGAGCGCAACTCTTGCCACTTAAGCAGCTTGCAAAAATATGGAACTTCTAGGAGCGTGCATTTTACGCTCGAGTGAACTTTTGGTCGCTCGAGTGGAAGTGCAAAAAAAAAGGTGGTCGCTCGAGCGTAGGTTCTTCTGCTCAAGCAGAGAGCAAAATTCTGGAATTTTCAGATTGCTCTTCTCAGCTCAAAACTCAAATTCAAAGTTGTAAAACATGGTCTTTTGGGCCAAAAATTTGAGGAAACTATAGCAAACACTTATAAATGGTAAAACCATGGTGAATTCGATTTCATGAAATCAAGCTCAAAAGCTTGTCAATTATACAAAACCAAACTTGAAATGTTGAAAATAAGACTTGCCTGTAATGGTATGAGTTTTAACCTTCCAAACCATAATCAAATGAGGTAAAAACACGTAAAATGTGATGAACTTCCAAAATCAAGCCATGATCAATGCATGCATGTGTGACTTTCTCAAAATCAAGCTTTAAATGCAAAAGAATTTGCATGCAAAAGAATTTGCATGCAAGTATGATTATCTTCTTAATTCTTCTTCCTAAGCTTAATTCTTGGCTTAATTAACTACCTCTCTTGAATTCATGCATTAAAGACTACAAATATACAACTAAAGGAGTGAATTTCTACCTCAAGCCTTGAATTCTCAAGTGTAAGAGCTTAGTTTTTCAAATTCTCTCCAAATCCTCCTCTTTTCTAGCAATTCATTTTGAGTCTCACAAAATTCTCAAGCTTAGAACCAAATCTTCCTACTTTCTCTATCTCTCTCTCTCTCTCTCTCTCTCTCTCTCTCTCTCTCTCTCTCTCTCTCATGTTTGTGAGCTTAAAAATGTATATAAAATGAAGAAAAATAGTGAGTGGGGGAATATAAAAGGTGCCTTATATAGGCTTAGATCAAAATTTCATTAGTTAGGCTTAATTGAGCATTAATTATTCTAATTTAATCGTTTCAAATCAAATTTCAATTAAACCTACCATAAAATTCTAAAAATTCTAATTAACACATAAATCATGTCAATTTCTGAATCGAATGACAATAAGACCTTCAATTCGCAAACTAAAACGAAAACATGAACAAATCTTTCTACGTTAAACAGATATAAACACACACAAGGCAACATATGATGCAAAATTTTACTTTAATTACTTATTAGGCATAATTAAGCATGGATTAACGTTAATCATGGGTGAGAACTGTTACAGTAGTGAAGATCGAAACTGTCTGTGATGGTTCCAGATCGATTGAGTCGGGTTGAGTATGTCACATATTCGGTTATTTGAACACCCTTAGTGTAAATAAAAATACTTTTTACTAACTTTCATTGCAACATTGCCACTACTATAACCATCACTACCATTACTAATCACTACAATGATCACAATACTTTTCAAATCAAATTTCTTATGATTTTAAATATAAAATTCAAATCAACAATATCGTAAATTTGATTACCAAAATAAACTTGCTTTAAAAATCATGAAGCTAATTTTGGACGTTTCTAAATATATGCCTAACGTACAGGTGAAACAGGTTTTAAAACTTCAATTCCATTGATTAATTAAAAAATTTTAAAAAATCATACAATAAAATTTCATTATTCAAAATATGAAAATGATTTCACAAACTTTTAATACAATACCACTAGTACCATCACCATTACTAACTAATGCAATGATCACCACACTTTTGGTTTTTCATCAAATTTCTATGGATTTAAATATAAAAATCAAACAAACATAATCCAAAATTGATTAAAAATAATTCAATTTGCTTAAAAAACTATGAAATTAATTTTGGAAGTCCCTAAATATGTCTAACATACATATGAAACAATTTTCAAAAATTCAATTCCATTGATTAGATTAAAAATAAAAAGTATTTGTATAGTGAAAATTTATTATGTTTTTTTATTAGGAAACAAAAGTTGAAAAAGCTCTTTTGCAAGGGTGAAATAGAAAGAAATATATGGACACTCTCCCATCATCTGTTGCGAGCTTGTTTGGCAATTAACTTCTTGGTTAAAAAAATATGAAAGATAAAATAGTCTAATAAGTCAATAAGGTAAAATGTCACATCTAAATTATAATTATTTCATTTTTTCTTTTGAAAAACAAAAAAAAAAAAAGTTAAACCAAACAAATTTTTAATCCTAAATTAAAATGACTAAAAAATTAAAAATCCAACTAAAAAAACTTATTGCCAAATCACATGTGGCGTCCAAACATCGCCACAAGAGCATCAATGGCAACAATGGCGAGACACGGGGACCACATCAACAACAATAATGATAAGGGGCAAGCATCATATTATTTGGGATGTGAGTTAGTTTTTTAATTTTTTGATTTTTTTGTCTATTTTAATCTGAGACTAAAAAGCTTCTTTTGGGATAGGCATTTTGGTTTTTGTGACTTTTGTAACTTTTGTGAAAGAAAAAATGAAATGATTATAATTTAAATATGACATTTTATTTTATTGAGCTAAAAAAATTATTTTACTTTTTTATAATTATTTTAACAAAAAAATATCTCATTTTAATTTATGCCAAACGAATGCTTAGGTCTACATCATCTTTACAACTTTGTGAATGATAGTTCAACCGTTGATTTTGTGCCTGTTGCATGACATCAACTCTGAAAGACTATTCATTAAAAACTATATTATTTTCTTTTATAAATTATCTTTTTTAAAATTTTTTATAAAAATAATTTAACATTCTTATCACTAATCATAGTATATGAGAGAAGTTAAAAATGATACTGCAGTAACTATACATGGATTGTATGTATAATTATTTATATGAGGGAATTTTAAATGCTGATCAAAAGATTTTGATCACATCAACAAATGTAGGCATGTAGAAAGACATATGGATTGAAAAAAAGTTAATAAATGCTGATCAGGAGATTTTGACCAAATCAATAAATGCTGAGTTTTTTTTTTAAATAAAAAATTTAGAAAATTTAGATTAGGATATTGAAACTCCCACAGGCCTTGGGGGTTAAAAATTCATTTTTACTTAATATATAGTATAGATTAAATATACAAAAAATACTAGAGATCTGATAAAAATTTTATCAAATATTTTATATGAGTATAAAATCTATACTCACGTGAGACATTTAATAAAAATTTTAATAAAATTTTTAAAATTTCTACCGTTAGTCTTAACTCTATACAGTTCCAAAACGGTTACATTCGGAGTTACTTTCTCAACTTCACTACTCACACCTCAATATATACTTCTCATACTTGTCTCACTTATACACATTTTTTTCACAAATGCCTGTGTTTCAACCCGAATAATATTAGGAATTATGAAAAAAAAATCATAAAATGCTACATAAAGAGTTTTCATCTTTTGATTAGTATGTGATATTTTTTATATGGGTAATCTAACGGTAGAGAATCTTTGATAATAATTTTTTCATAATACATAACATTACTCGTTTGGACGCCTTTAATTTCCACCTCTTTTCACCCTTTAAATTCTTCTTTCTATTATACCCATTTCTTATATGAGAGAAGAGAGAGAGAGACAGGGAGTCTAAGTTAGGAGGGAGAAGATGGCTAGAGAGATGCAGAATAACACCATGTCCATAGAACAAGCCCCAGAGACCCTTCAAAACAGCGATATTCACAAGAACTTGGACGATGATGGCCGCCCCAAACGAACTGGTACCTCAATGTATCCCGATGCTGTTATTTAAAACGATGCTATGCAGTATTACATTTACATATTGATTGTCTTCTGTCTACTCACTTAATATATATGGATTTTGTTTTTTTTTGTTTTTAAAGGAAGTGTGACAACTGCAAGTGCACATATCATAACAGCAGTGATTGGGTCAGGAGTGCTTTCTCTGGCATGGGCTATAGCTCAGTTGGGTTGGGTGGTTGGCCTTGCTGTTCTCATGGCTTTCTCTTTCATCACTTTCTTCACTTCCACTCTCCTCGCCGACTGTTACCGGGCTCCTGACCCTGTCACTGGTACCAGAAACTACACCTACATGGATGTTGTGAGAGCTCACTTAGGTAATTCAACTTACTCTTCAAAATGTGAACACTAGTTTACTGTGGATGGAATGGATAGCTTGAAGCTTCTATTTTCTCTTTCTTTGATTATTCTGTTAAAGTTTGCAAGAAGACATAGTACTTTGTGTAGCTCTTTCTCCAAATCTCTGAATTATATGAAAATTTTGATATATGAGAATCTGGAGATATTTTCTCTTTATCTCTCAGTCTAATTGAGAATTTTTTTTCTTTCCGAGAATCTTCGTATTTGCCGTTCTTTGTGTCCCTTTGTCCTAATGCAGTTTTAACCATAAGATTATATGAAAATTTCGAGATATAAAAATATTGGGATATAATTTTCCGTGTTCCACTTTTCTAACTTCTAATGTAGTTTTAAGATTATGAAATTTTTGAATACAACATGATCTTCCAACTGGAAAATCCCACCTGGTCTTTCAAATTGAAAATCTGAAATTTCATCTCTAAAAACTTGAAGTATGAAAAGTGTGTTTAGTATGAGTTTTTTGAATTAAATTTTTTGAAAATTGAATTTTTTGGTTTTCGTATTTTTTTGTTTTTAGTGGATATTTTTAAAATTTTAAATATATATATATATTTTAGATGCACCTATTTAAATGTATTTAAAAAGTAAAAAAATTTGTGAAAAAATATTTTAAAAAATTAATAAATACATAAAAATATCAAAAATTTATTGAGTTCTTGTATTTTTTTTGTACTTTTGGTATTTAGTGAATTTTTAAAAAAAAAAAATCATAAATTTTTTACTTTTTAAGTATATTTATGTTAGGTATGTCTAAAAAAATTTTAAAAATTGCTTAAAATATTAAAAAAATTCAGCAAAAACAAAAAAAATACGAAAAACAAGAAAGTAAAATTTTTTTAAAAATGTTATTAGAAAACTCTAACCAAACAAAAATCTGGGTTTGGATTTTATTTTTAGTTTCTTTTTGAATCTATTCTCAGGAGGAATCAAGGTCCAGCTGTGTGGAATAGCTCAGTATTGTAATCTGGTAGGGGTTACTATTGGGTACACAATAACTGCATCAATTAGTATGGTGTGAGTAATCAAATTAGTTTACCTACTTTCCAAATTTAAATCAGCATCATCTGATTCATTGATTAATATACAATGTTGTTAGATATCTATTGACTCTTTTTTTTTTTTTTTTTTTAATAATAATACAGGGCAGTCAAAAGATCAAACTGTTTCCACAAACATGGTCATTATGTGAAGTGCTCAATATCAAACTATCCATTCATGATCATCTTTGCCTCTATTCAGATCATTCTGAGTCAAATACCAAACTTCCATGAGCTCTCATGGCTTTCAATTGTCGCAGCAATCATGTCCTTTGCTTATTCTTCTATTGGGCTCGGTCTCTCCATAGCTAAAGTTGCAGGTAGGCAAGGGGGAGAGATGAATATGCTGTTTGAATTGTTAACTACTACTAACCCATCTCAAATCTTAAATTGTTAGAGATAAAAGATAGTTTTATTATTTATATTCTAAAAAAGAATAATATACTCATCCTATACGAAACAAATATAATATAGAAGTATGTGTGTGTTTTGATTGATTGGTTAAATGTAATGTAACATGGTGTGGTGGTCCAATGCATGAATTGAAATGAAAGGAGGTGGACATGCAAGGACAAGCCTAACAGGGGTGACAGTTGGGGTGGACGTGTCAAGATCTGAGAAGGTTTGGAGAAGCTTCCAGGCCATTGGAGACATCGCCTTCGCTTATGCTTACTCTACCGTCCTCATCGAGATTCAGGCAATCTCTTCTCTCCCCCACCCCACACATATATATACAATATACTATTAAGGAATGGCTCGGCTCCAGTTGATTTCAAGATTAGACAGTTGAGTTTTTTTGATCAGTAAAGATCATTAAACAAAAGATTGATAAGAGTCATTAAATAGAAGATTCTTTATTGATAAAAATTTTTGAAAAAATTTAACTTTATCATATTTTTATAGACTCTTATCGGTAAAAGACTCTCGTTTAATGACTTTTAACAATAAAAAATCTCAACTGCCTGGTCTAATTAAAAATTTAATTAGAGATGAACTAAATCCATACTATTTGAAAAAATTCAACTAAGTGATGTTTTTATAAACTCTTACCAGTAAGAGACCTTCGTTTAATGACTCTTACTGTTAAGAAACCTCAACTATCTAGTTCAGTTGAAAGTTTAACTAGAGATGTCAAATTCATACTATTATATATAGGTGTAGTTGAAAGTTTAACTAGAGATGTCAAATTCATACTATTATATATAGGTGTAGGCTCTTGATAGTGTTAATGTCTCATATTTATATTAAGAAGAGGATAAGACTCGAAATTGGGATCATGAGTTTTATTTTTTAAAAAAAGAAAAATTATGTAAATAGTCCATGTAGTTTACACGATGTATCAATTTGGTCCATGCAATTTCAATTTGCTCGATTTTGCTCCTTAATTTAACGGATTGTGTCATTTTAGTCCAATAAATAATAGTTGTTAAGTTAATTTAACGAAAAGTCAAATAATGTGTCAATTTGATCCCTGTATTTTTCACAATGTATTAATTTAGTTCCTGTCAAAATTGAGAAAATTGAAACTACAAGGACCAAATTGACACATCGTGTAAAGTATAGGGACCAAATTGATACATTATTTGACCTTCCGTTAAATTAACTTAACAACCGTTATTTATTGGACTAAAATGACACAATCCGTTAAATTAAGGGACAAAATTGAGCAAATTGAAACCACAAAGATCAAATTGACACATCGTATGAACTACAGGGACTATTTACATAATTTACCCTAAAAAAAAAAGATACTTGCCACTTGAGCAACAAATGTTATGTGTGCATTTTTTTTTTTTTTTGACACATCATATAAAGTATAAGGACTATTTACATAATTTACCCTAAAAAAAAAAGATACTTGCCACTTGAGCAACAAATGTTATGTTTGCATTTTTTTTTTTTTTTTGTTATTATTATTATAATTTTTTTAAAAAAAAATTACATACACATAGTATGTGCAAACTCGTATATTAAGGCCTCGTTTGGCAATTTTTATTTTTAGTCAAAAAGTCAAAAAGTTACTAAATTAGCCAAAAAGCCAACAACCCATACCAAAAAGTCAAAGATTCTCTTTTCTCTCTACTTTTTGCACATTTTTTCGTAAAAAGTCAAAAAGTCATCCCAAACATACTAGTTTTTTTAGCTCATATTTTAGCCAAATAGCCAAAAAGTTACTAAATTAGCCTGTTCCCAAACGGGGCCAGACTCAAAACTTTAAATTTAAAAAAAGATAAATAGTATATATATTATGATATTAATTTTTTTTTTATTTAAATTATATACACATTGCGTGCGTTAATAGATATAAATATATATCACTCCAGTATACATATTATTGTATATTATAGATATGTAATATTAATATAAGATGATCCATGGAACCACGAAATTAGCATAGTCCGAACCAAAAATCTAAGCATGACCTTATTGTATTGTATGTAAAGGTTACGCGCATGGTTGAAATGTGTGCCTTGGCCTTGTTTGGGAAAAGGGTTAATAGTATACTAAATGATAAAATAAATTAAAATAACTAATAAGATAAAATGTTACATTCAACTGATAGTCATTTCACTTTTTCTCTCACAATTATTAAATTAATTACAAAAAAAACCAACTAATTTATCAAATATAATTATTTTAACAAGGCCTTAATTTCACCATCCCACGTATGACTTCATCCATAGTTTCTACCACACTTTTCTAAAATATATATATAGTTTCTGCCACATGTCGGCTTCTCACTTGGACAAGTTAGGGCTCTTTTAGAAAATGGGTTAGTAATCAAAAGTTAAATTTTAAATCATTTTGAGTCATATTATTTCTTACAATTTTTTATATATTTTTTTTAAAAAAAAATAAAAAATAATCAATTTTTAACCAACTTTTCAAAATAACTCTTAAATCAAAAAATTTATTAAAGAATGTATACTTTGAAGTATCAAGATCATGCGTTACTATCATGGAATCAAAATAGTCAATATATATAAGCATGTTAACTTGTACAATTTTACTAATATTTTTATGATTTAATAAATTCTACCTTACAAATCAGTTTAGTTTGTGTTTGTAATAAAACTAGTGCATAAGAATAGTTCTAAAAATCAGTCTCAAAATGTATATTAATAGACATAATTTTTCAAAAGAATAATGTTAGATATTTCTAAAATATCACCTCTAAACTTATCTTTACATGACATGCAAGGAATTGTCGTGATTAATTTTTAAACAAAGTAATAATTGACGTGCAAATATTCACGTTATTTGGAGTAAATTTGTAAGTAATGTTTTAAGAGTTTAAAATATTTTTCTTTTCCAAGCTAACTCGTAGTAATAATAAATTTTATAAAATTGTCTATTTATATATGTTATGGGTAAAACAAACAGGACAAAATAGACGTCGACGACGACGACCAAAAAAAAAAAAAAGAAAAAAAGAGAAAAAGAAAAGTCGTAGATGGTTAATTGAGAGGATAGGCAGCCTAGTCTTAGATCTTATCCAAATGAAGTTTGGTTTTTATTTATTTTTAGGCAAAATAAGAACTACATTCATTATTCACCGCAATAAATAAATAAATAAATAGAACTACATTCATTGAAAAAAGGACAACCCTATGACCTATTGTTATATGGAAGAATTTATTTAAATCCCGTTTAAAAACTGATTATTTTAATTAATTTTTTAATTTTTATGGAAATACATACAAAAAATAATAAAAATAATGTGATGGTTTATAATAATTTTTTAACAAAAAATGTTATGAATCCCACCTTGATTCTCCAAATTTACCCTTAAAGAGAATATGTGATTTAGATTGAATGTGAAGTCTATTCGTAAAATAAATTTAAATTATAAAATAATAACTCTGAATAATTTAAAAATATTTAAGTCTGAATTTGTAATATTATTCAATTTGTTTGGTTTCAATTTTTAAAATTTAATTTTTTGAAAATTGAATTTTTTCTTTTTCGCGTTTTTTTATTTTTAGTAAATATTTTTAAAATTTTAAGCATTTTTTTTACTTTTTAAGATGCACTTTATTTAGATCTATCTAAAAATAACATATTTGTAAAAAATGTTTTAAAAAGTTAATAAATACAAAAAATATACTAAATTTTCTTCTTCTTTTTTTTAATATTTTTGATATTTAGTGAATTTAAAAAAAAAAAATCGTGAAAATTATACTTTTAAGTGTATTTATATTAAGGGGTTGCTTTGGATGTCCTAAATAAGTGTATTTTTTAACTTTTTGAACTAAAAAGTTGAAGAAAAATATATAGTTATTTGGATTAACTTTTTGACTTTTTATAAAAAAAAAAATATGTATTAAAAAATTGTATAAATTAGTGTGCAGGAAAAAATTAAGATTGAGAATTGTACAGGCGTACTTATTAACATTTGGTGAAAAGTGATAATTTTTTAACTTTTTTTTGAAAAACTTTTTAATTTTTTGATTTTTTGGGCACATGCCAAACTTGGCCAAAGTGGGTCTAAAAATTTAAAAAAATTACTTAAAATATTAAAAAAATCAGTGAAAACAAAAAAATATGCAAAAATAAAAAAGTAAAATTTTTTAAAAAGTGTTTTAAAAAAAAAACTATAAACAAACATAGTAATTATTATTATTATTATTTTATTTTATTTTATTTTGGTTACAAACCCAACTTTTCAAATGAAACCTTACGTATGGAGTTGTGTTTTTGAATGATTCCTCGTGAGACCAATCGGATTGGGGGACCCATCAGCTCTTTTCACAAAGACGTGAATGCCCCCACAATTTTGGTTTTTCTCATCTTTTCCACCCACAAACCGTCCTTCCATTTTTGTTGTTTCTTCCGTCTCTTCTTATAAAAGAAAGACCAAATTAGGCAGACCCGAAAACCTGTTTTTGCCAGCTTTGCACATGCACAATATACACTAGTACTACACTTGCACATGACTTGTTTGCTTGTTTGTTTTTTTTTTTTCTTTATTCTTCTATCTTTTTCTTTTTTTTATTTTTAAACTCTGCTTGCTTGTCTGAGCAATTCATTCAACTCATAAAGCCTAATGCGGTTTCAGGGTTTATCTTCACAACAATGTTAAGACATAAAACTTGGGTCACAATCCTCTTAGTCTAATGGCATCACCCAATATTCTCATAACCTCACCGGAGACAAGGTTGGATGTCAGAATTTCATAAGTTTCTCTCTCTATTTGTTACAATCCTACATCGATTAACACATGCCTTAGCCTTAATCGTATCCAGTCGGTTTTTAAGGGTGAGTGACATCCAAAGACCTGTCATAGCAAGTTCACTCACAATGCCACTTTCCGGCTTCCTTTTCCCACTCTCAGATGTAAATTAGATATAAACTATGGTTATCAGAAGTAAATGGGTTAGAATTAAAAAACAAGCAGACACCAAAAAAATGGTGGTTAGGAAGTTATGAACATAAGAGAAATGTTGGGACTTATTTGTGGGAAATGAAACACCAACCCCCCCCCCCCCCCCCCCCCTGTAACAAAAAAGGAGCGCCTTTTCCAACAACTCCGGAGAACAAGGTGATGAAACGGGCATCACTCGTCGGAGTTACTACCACCACGCTCTTCTACATCCTATGTGGTAGTTTTGGCTACGCTGCTTTTGGAAACAAGACACCAGGAAATTTCCTCACTGGGTTTGGCTTCTATGAGCCCTTCTGGCTAATTGACTTGGCCAACATTTGCATTGCTATCCACCTAATCGGTGCCTACCAGGTACATAAATTTCCCAAAAACAAAACCAGCATAAAATCGAAAAACTACTTACCTACTGGTTTCATGGTCTGATCACTCTTGCAGGTTTTTTGCCAGCCTATATTCGGGTTCGTAGAGGGTCAATGCCGCCAACGCTGGCCAGAAAGCAAATTCATAACACACGAGCACACTATTAAAATCCCATTCTATGGAGTGTACTACATCAACCTCTTCAGGTTGATATGGAGAACAATCTATGTAATAGTGACAGCAGTGGTAGCCATGATATTACCTTTCTTCAATGATTTCTTGGGCTTGATCGGAGCAGCATCGTTCTATCCATTGACCGTGTACTTCCCCATCGAGATGTACATCGCGCAGTCAAAAATACCCAAGTTTTCATTCAGATGGGTATGGCTGAAAATCCTAAGTTGGGCCTGCCTAGTTGTTTCCCTCATTGCTGCTGCCGGGTCCATTCAGGGACTGGCTAAGGACCTCAAGACATACAAGCCCTTCAGAATTCAGAACTAACATATTTTGTACCAAAATGCAATATTCTTAATAAGAATGAATTTCCAAGCGAGTCTGAGAATCTGTATATCAAAATGACAGAAAACACAACTGCAGAACTATCTCAAACCTACATATGGGCACGACGCTGTACTAAAGTCATTACAATACTTTAAAGTGTAGGCTTTAAGATCTGTAACTAATGACAATTTGGTAGGCATACATCTATATAAAGCACAAGTGGTTCAAGTATAACATTTGTCTCTGTTTATAAACTCATCTAAAATTCACACAATCCAGATTCAAGAAACTCACCGTGTACTCACCCCAAGTAGACTTCCTGATGTTGTGATCCTCTCTTTTGAAAGTTGAATATTTTGATGATCTAGAGACTTGTTGCCAGACTAAACCCTTAAATATGATAGAATGATCATAGAAGCTACAAGCATGGCCTAATTCAGCTAAGAGATGTACAACAGAAAATCACAAAACCAACTGAGCTTCAGAGAAAAACAAGACTGATAGCATCTGGAACTTCAAATGTAATAAAAACAGGCAACCAATCATCCCATCAAAACTTTTGACTTTAATCACATCAACAAATTTTCCCAAAAAGATTCTTAAATATCAATCACCAACAAAATCGTGTCGTAAATGACCAAAAAGGTGAAGCATCAATAAATGGTTAAAATTTTAATTTAACTGATACATTCACTATAAATATTGCTAGATTGACTTTCCACAAAAATATAAAGTGGAATGCCATAGTAAACAAAAATCAACTCTGTGCCAAAAGGGATTGAATTCTACATGGCATACCTGTGAACCACCTAGTTTACAGGCGGCCACTAAACGGCTGCCACATCAGTTGATGTGGGTTCTATGAAGCATGGACATGCCAAAATGGAAATCATGGCGGTGTCGGATACGGGGACATGCAGATGGCGTGTCCCCTTAATTTAATTTATTTTGTTTGCAAGGGACACGGCGGAGACACGCGTGTCCAAATCTGGACACACCATGGGACTCGGTCGGCGAGAAGAGTAAACGAAAGAGAAAAAGAGTACAAACCTGATCGACAACTTCAATTTGGACGACTTCCACCATAAGCCTCGCACTCTCTCTTGCTCTCTCATGACTTCGATCTCAAGCCAATCGACCTCCATCCAGTCCATTTCGACTAGCGATAGCCCTTTGACTTCGACGATCCAGTCCACTTTGACTAGCTATAACGCCCTTCGACAATCCAAAGCCCTTCGACTTCTCAAAGCTCTCTCTCTCTCGCCTTCTCTCTCTCCCTCGTGATCATGATCGATCACTTCTGTCTCCCTCTCTCGTCTGTCGTTATCTTCTTGATTCATATATATATATATATATACACATATAACTATTATTATTAAATATTACATAATAATTATTATATAACATATAATATACTTATAAGATAATATGTAATACATATTATAAGATAATATACACTTACACATATTAATAAAATAAAATAATAAACATATGTATGTAAAATAAAATAAAAAATGAAGTGGAACACATTATTTAAAAAATATAATAAATAAATAAAATAATTAATGTGTATTAAAATAAAAATATTTATAAAAAATTAAAAAATTTGCCGTGTCGCCTGCAGTGTCCGTGTCCTCATTTTTTAAAAATTGCCGTGTCCCGTGTCCGTATGCGTGTCCGTGTCCGTATCCGTGCTTCATAGTGTGGATTTACACCAAATTTCTTTAACCAACTCTCTCTCTCTCAATAATGTTTCTTCTTCCCTCTCACGCCCCCACACAAACCTCTCACCAGATCCCACACTTGCATCTCTCTCAATAATGTTTTTTCTTCTTCCCTCTCACGCCCCCCACACAAACCTCTCACTAGATCCCACACTTGCATGAGACAAATAGTACAGCCTGAATGAACAATATGGTAGATTAGATAACCCATTGGGGTATTTGAGTGTTTACTTTGATGGTGAAATTGAAATAAGAAAGAACTACAAAAGAGGAATCCTGAAGGGAACAAAGAGGACAAAACCAAGAAATATAAAATTGAAAAATATTGATATGGGTCTCACTGTTCACAATAGCTGATATTTCAAAATGCAAAAATGAAAAGAATACATAACTTAGAAATCTAAGTGTGGTATTGATTGAACTCAATCAGGTTTCAACTATGAAGCATGAACATAACAAAATCAGCGCCGTGGCGGTGCTAGACACGGGGACATGCCCAGGATACGGAGACACGTCAAGGACAAACCATCTGCCGTGTCCCTTTAATTTAATTATTTTTTTTGTAGGGACACGCGTGTCCAAATCTAGACACGGCGTGAGACACGGCGAGGAAGGAGAGACAAAGAAGAGAGAGTGTGAAGGAAGAGTGAAGAGACTCTCTCTCTCTCTCTCTCTCATTTTATCTTCTTGATTGAGGTGTGATCTGAGTTAGGGTTTAACTATTATATAATATATAATAATAGTTATTATATAATAGTTATTATATAACATATAATATATTTATAAGATAATACATATTTATAAATATTAATAAAAATAAATAAACACATGTATGTAAAATAAAATAAAATAAAAAAATTAATTGGAACACATTATTTAAAAAATATAATAAATATATAAAATAATTAATGTGTATTAAAATAAAAATATTTATAAAAAAATTAAAAAACTTGTCGTGTCCCCTGTCGTGTCCGTGTCATAATTTTTTAGAAATTGCCATGTCCCGTGTTTGTGTCCGTATCCGTATACGTGTCCGTGTCCGTGCTTCATAGGGTTTCAAGGTCAAAATCTTGTAGGAGAAGACGTTTCAACTGGGTCGGTGGAGGGAAGGGGATGGGCACAGAGTGGGGCTTAATATTTTACAAGTTTAGCTAACGTGTCAATTGAATACTAGGTGCCGGTAAAACCAATGGTTTACGGGTAAGCCCTAAAGAATTTAGGCCTTGTTTGGCATAAACTAAAAAATTCAAAAAGTCAAAAAGTCACTATCCTATTTAAGTCACATCATCTTATTTAAGTCAAATCACCTCTCTATCACATCATTTCAAACCCAACTCATACCCAACCCATATTTCATAAAAAGTCAAAAAGTACACTTATTTTGATCATCTCAAATAACCCCTTAATCTCATCCTAAGGTGCTAAACTACAAAAGTTGAAAAAAAAAGAAAATCAACTTAAGAAACATGGTTGTCAGGACTCTCTCAAAAGCAACAACAAAAGTCCAATCATATTTTGTTGTAGAAAAAATTCATAAAACACAATTAAGGGCACAAGTGAGCAAGTAGAAAAGCAATTTTCCTTCCCATTTCTTACAAATTCTCATCCCATACAAACATGTAAAAGCCAATAGTATTATTTTTTCTTACCCCTACCATTTAACATTTAGTGACAGCCAAAAGAGCATTAGATTGTTCATTTTTTTTTTTTTTTTTTGGTAACTACATTTTTTGATTGTTCAGGTAACTCTCCAAATGACGCTAAATGGGCATGCTCTCGAACAATATTTTAAGATTAATCCGCAAAGTTTGGGAGCAGCCCTAGCAAAGTCCAAGTAAGTTCCCACTACTCACAAAACTGCAAAATTAGAAGTCCAACATTCTCCAGCCACCATGGTCTTCAGCTGAGTAGCAAGTTCTAAACAACACAAATGAGTAGTGTATTAAATTATTTATTGTAATAACTATGAGAATATTTAAGTAATAAAGAAAATTAAAAGGAATAGCAAAGTGAATGCCAGATATCATCACCAATGATGACAATAATGCTTCTGATTGTTATGTCAGCATAAAAAGAAGTTAAGGAGCCTTACCTCAATAACAAAGATCAAGGAGCTTCCGTCTCACTAATTACAAATGCTTGAATAAGAGACTGTGCAGCATGGGTTTGATCAGGTGTGCCAGATATTATAATCATTGTTTCTGTTGCTCCAGGTTTGGGATCGGTGATAGTAATTTTAGCCTCGGAAATCTGGGAAAATTTTGTCAAAAATTGCAAACTCCATAGAATAAGGGTATGTGACAAATAAAAAGGTTAATTAATTTGTGACTTCTAAAAGTGTGCATATCTACATTGCCCATGAAATTAACAAAAAATCTAAAATTAGGAAGCAAGCAATCCAGTCTCCGAGAACTAGGGTACTTCCAACATAGTAAGCCAGAAATATTGAGGAATTGAATGCAATTGACAGAAGATTTATTCTTGATATTAACTTTTTGGGAACAGGCTATTTTAGCAACTTTTTAGCTTTTTACGAAAAGATGTGCAGAAAAGTAGAGAGCATGATGTGACAACTTATAGTGACTTTTTGGCTTTTTGACTAAAATGTATAGTTGACAAACGAGGCCTTAATGTTGGCTTATAGAATATTAACTAATAGAACAAGGTACAATCCAGTTTAGAACATTAACTATTAGAATGAGGCACAATCCAGTATAAAATGTTTGTAATGTTTTTAGACTATAATATGATGTCTTATATTATATACCAAAGATGAAGCTTTTGCTGATCAATAAGAAATGTAAGGCAAAAATAATTCCTTTTCTAATTGGAGAACAGGAGAAGTGAGACTACCCAAGGATGATTATCAGATCACAGAATATACCTCACGAATTTGTTTCAGACATCCACCATCCTCTCCATAAATCACAGGAACAATAGAACGAGGTACAACAACTTCCATGGTGGTGTTTGTGATAATAGCTGGATGACTTCCTCTACATATATTCAGAAAGATACATTTAAACAAAATTGAAAAAAAGGGCGATGCCTTCAGCAAACAATTTGGTATTAAGGACAGTAAACAGTTAATAATTAAGTTTTTACTATGTACTCTACACAGTACCCACCCTCCAAATCCACCAACCCTTCTTTGGGGAGCTCCTGCATAGTCCATCAAGCCTAAAGGCCCACCCCCTTCAATAGGTCCCTACAATCAATTTGGAAGCAAGAGTAAATTCACCATAATTGCACAGTTCTTTGCATGATGGGCTTCTCTAATGTCTAACAACTCTTATCATTTAAGTTCGCTCTCCTGTCTCAAAAAAAGTTCCTATGGCAATTTCCAATCTTGTGTTCAAACTATCATAGAAAGAATAACATTATTTTAACAAGCATACAAACATAACTTAATAAAGAAACTGAAACTGCGCATGAACGTTAAAGCAATGCTCATATTGGTTATCAAGCAGACCCGGTAAACCAAAAAAAAACATTTTACGAGTGAGATAATAAAGAATTGATACCTGAGGACCCCATGCTGAAGATGGCCTTCTGTCGGAAATATGAGGGGGAATGCCTGGCCTGTGAATACTGTGCATAAAAGGGAAGCGATCATCATGTGGATGAAAATCCCCATGTGGAGGCAGACCACCGACAGCATCATATCTGTGAAATGATGGCCCTAGATTGGAATACATTCCAGGGGGTGAAAATTCCATCCTTCCCACATATGGAGGAAATGGAGGTCCTTGATCTGGAAAGGCAGCATTTGAAGGATGGTTGATATCAGGAAATGCATCACGAAAGAAATGATTCCGCAACCTAGTGGTTATTTGCAGAATAGCATCTTGTACTACCTCAAATTCTCCATTTATCTGTACAAAAGAGTCCCCATAAGTACGAAGTGCAGTACCCACAAGTCAATAAAGGTCAAGGTTTGTAAGAAATAAGAAAGTAAAATCAATTAAAGAGCAAAATACTACCGGAAATACAGTCATAGTTAGTTAGGAACACTAATAAAATTTACTACAATTGAAATAACAATATTAGAACGGAAAATTTTAATGTTGGAGAAGAAAGTAAAAAAACAAAGCTATGTGCATACAGCCACACCTGAACAACTTCTTCATTCTCAGAAGCACACTTTGGAAGCTGATCCTTCCCCAATATACGAATATAAGCCCCAGATGACTTCCTCATTTCAGCAATAATAGCACCTCCCTTGCCAAGAAGGCAACCTATTTGATGAGAGGAGACAAGAAACTTTGCAGTCACAGTGTTCTCCTTGTTCTCTGCTGTAGCCCTAACCATCCTTGACAAAACACGAAGAACCGCATCTTGTGCAGCGGATATTCTGTCATCTGGGTGCTGCAGTAGTTGTTTGACATTTTAATGTCAGCAGGTATTTTTTTTTTTTTTGCGTGTACAAAGAACTAAATTTAGCCAGCAAAGAAAGACAACATATGTAACTTTTACATATCAAACCAAGTTCAAGTGTCAAACCATACCGCTGGACCAGATATGACAATAATGCGGTCCTCTGAGTCAGATATGCCATCCAATACTTTGATCTCACAGCCAGTCTCATGCTGGAGTGCCTTAACTATTGTTCCTCCTTTTCCAATTACTCCTCCTACCTTCTCCTCATGACACAGTAACCTGAAGCTGAGGATATCCTGAGGAAGGTTAAAATGGCCAGGAACACCACTTTCATTAAATCTGGAAATTAGTGGCCCAGCAGCATAAGCTGCTCTTTGAGAACGGAAAGCATAGTTCCGTGGTGGGTATTCTTCGGGCCTCAATAAAGGATCACCAAATGAATCAGATGAAGGCCCACTAGGGTTGACAGAAAAAGAATCCTGATCACGAGGTGGATTCTCTAGAAGCTGTTGAGAAACAGATTGAAGAGCTTTCCTGACTTCATGAACTCCCCCAGTAATCTGCAATAAACTTATGAAATGGAAAATATTAATACTGACTTTTTTTTAAAAATATTAATGCCAACAAACTTTACCTATAAAAGTAAAATATAAGATCATATTACTCATTAATTTTTGCTGGCCAGTGTTGTAATTACACCTAGGCATATTTGAAGAGCTAGGCAACAAGGCAATGCACTCAAAGCAAAGCTAACAACAGTCAACCCAAGCAGCATGGTTCTCAACCTGCCGTAAAACTGCCTAAGTTATTGTTCTTGTTTTTATTTTTCAAATGTGTCCCCCATCCAACCAGAGAATGAATGTTTACAAAATTAGCAAAACACACAAAGTTCTCTGTCTCGTATATATATATATATATAATATGCAACAAATTTTATTTGATTTTCCAGTTCTAGTTTTAGGGATTTATTTAACCTGAGAAGTAGAAGACAATCCCCATTCCCCCACCACCCCTCTAATCCACGTGCAAGTCTGTGCACTCCCTAACTACATCTAGGCCCCATGATTTTTCCCCTTCTTTTTTATGATTTATATTGGAAAAATAGGGTTGCTTTTCAGAACTAACAAGTTACAACTCCAAAGAGGCTATTCTTTAGGCAATTGCTTGAGCAATCCAAGACTCATTCTCTAGGCATTTTAACAACCTAGTTAACAATATGTGCACATCATACTAAATAATAATAGTATAGTCTCATACAACTAATGACCCTTGCATATGGTGGATATATAAGCTCAGGGATAATGAGAATTAGAAACCAAATTTACCTGAACCAGTTCATCAGAAGGAGATGCACAAGGAGGTAGTTTGTCCCTAGGCAGAATCCGAATCTGTGCACCAGTATCAGATGAAATTTGTTTGATTACGCTGCCACCTTTTCCCAATAGGCAGCCCACTTGACTGGAGAAAATAAGTAACCTCACAACTGTGGAAGACTTGTTACTCTCATCATCCCCTCCATCTGTCTCTGATTCTCCTTCAACCATTCTTTCGAAAATAAGTAAAAGAGCTTTCTGAACAGACATTGTTCCCTTTTCAGATTGTAAATCTTCCACAGGAATGGATTTCTTATCTTCATTGTCCTCATCATGTTTGTTTGCATCATCACCCTCTTCGATTGTGTTAGTCCCATTACCATCCTCCTTGCTCAGGTCAGCACCGACTTCACTATCTTTATCAGAACCTATAATAACAATTAATCTCTCATCACATCCAGGGACATTTTCCTCAACCCTGACCTTTGCACCAGTTTCCTGACGTATTTGTGATATGATGCTGCCACCTTTTCCAATAACACTGCCAGTTTTGGTAGCCGAGCAGAGTACACGAAATACAGTGCTGCCAGGAGAAATTTTCAATGGTAAATTCTGCGAAATATAACCTGATGACTTTTGCCTCTTCCCTTTACCATTTGGTTCTATATGGATCCGATCATACGGTCTCTTCGAAGGAGGCAATTGAACTGACATTTCAACAGAATTATTAGCAGACCTGTACAAATTACCAACACCAAAAGAACATCAAAATTGGAAGCATCATTCATGACAAAATACCTTAAATTTAACAAATGTTGAATGTACAAGTATAATAGCCAATTAGAAGACAGCCCATTCATTGAACCAAAATTCAACAATCAAAGCACGAGTTTTCCACAGGGGTTTTAATAGCAACAATTAGAGCTCAATATATATTTCTTCTGTGTGAAACAAAGAAAAGCTGATAGCATGAGTTATAGAAATATCAAATGTGGTGGTCATTGCCTGGTTAGAAAAGACAAATCCACTTTGGAAATCCAAACTAACACGTTAAGTCCACATCTTCATGTTTTGAGTCAATAGATTGTCTATTGAGTTTTAGTCAAAGTTTTAAAATACTTTAATGAGGCTCACCTCAAGGCAAGGCTAAGGCAAAACGCCTCAAGGCTTTGATTTTTAGGCTTTACTCCCCAAAGACTTGCACAAACAGTCTGAGTCATGCACCTTAGGTGCATCTTATATGCCTTTTATGCATAAGCATGTAAGGAGTACTCATACGAAGAGTTTATCTTAGGTTCTTATTAAACTTAGTCTAGTAAATGGTTTAAACATAAAAAAGTCAAAAATAAAAAAGTCCCTCTATTCTATAGGAAAAATTAAGTAAATAACCAATCAAGAAAAACACAAAGTTAATGCCAATTGAGAAGCTCAATCACTAAAGCTAAGAACATCAATTTCACTTTCAATAAAGCAAAACATCCTTCTCTCTAGTGAGCCTTGAGCAGAAAAGTAATTACACATTTATATTTAATTTTGATGTATTTATTTATTGTTTTAAAATATTTAAATTATTTACTAAATATAAACATTTGAAATTTGAAATGCTTACGCCTCAATGCCTTAAAGCTTATGTCTCGCCTCATGAGGGGTAAAACACATCACGTTACGCATTCGCCTTTAAAAACTTTGGTTTTATTATTTGTCATTTTAGAAATTTGTGCTTGGCATTGAGTTTAAATGTCATTGAATCACAGAGTTTGTTAAATTCTAGTCCCTGCTATGATGAATTTAGTCCTGTGTAACAGTAAGAAAGTTTACTTCATCCAAAATTTTTTATTTTGACTTTGTAACAGCTCTTTACTTAAAATAAATGACCAACAATCAGTGTCCTCTAGCTTCTTTCCCTTATATGGTCAGTCCATGTCTTATTACTCTTTCACTCTCTCCTCCTCACCTATGGGTGTCACATGTCCAAAGTTGTCTTTTTCGTCCCTGTGCAGTACTTCTAAAATATCAAAACCTCCAGCTCCTCTTTACAAGCAATAGATAGAACATGAGATACCTTTGAAAGTGTGGATAGACAGTTCAGCACAACGTCGCACATTCTATGAGAAGTGTGAATCCAACTTTTCCAAGAAAAAAAAAATTCGATTACGCAGTTCTTCAAGCATATGACACAGATAAAATTGCTGAGAAAAATATCAATGCGTATTCAAACTAATATGAGAGAGCAACCAGTTTAATGGGATTTATGGTGTCAATTCTAGTAATTATGGTTTAATATGGTAACAAGTTTAATGGGGGTTGGGGAACCCAAGCCGTGGAAACCAGTTGGACATGTTATAGGAGAAAATATTTAGTGTAACTCAGGTTACAAGTATTCCATGTTATATCTGATAATGTGATATCCCTTCCAATGAGAATATGGCGTGTGTGCAAGCCCCCACTAATCTAAGTTATCTCCTACTTAAGATCTCCACTGTAAACCTCATAAAAAAAACCCACAAACCCCAAACAAACAATATCAATCTCATCGACAACCATTGTCGTTGCCACATCACATCGCCAATGGCCGAAACCGGATATCAGACGGTGAAAGAGCAACTTATGGTGGCCCAACGGTGAATGAGAAACTTCCAGCAAACCCAACCTTCAAATATTTTCCCATCAAACTAGGGGCATCCCGATCCTTTCAGGCCATCACCAAAGCCTTGAAGTTTTCCCACTTATTTTTTTCGTTTTCACCCTTTCTCAACCTATACACATGCACGTATATCTTCTTTGTCTTTTGCACTCCCTTCACTGTCTCCTTTGAGCAATAAATAAACAATAATGATGGCAGTGAAGTACCGATCGATCACAAAACAAATTGATTAATCTACCTTGAAAACGTTGGGTGTGTGTGTGTGTGTGTATGTATATCTTAATATTTCTAATTGCTACATGTTTGGTATGTGTGTATTTCTATGTATTTACTGTTAATTTGCTCATTAATGGGTCATTCGAAATTTAATATCAGGTCATTTCTACCTAAAACTTGATTCCGATTAATTGCATTGTTTTTCTTTGGGTTTTACAAGTTGGGTTTGGGCTTATAATTTTATGGTCACTGGTGTTTTGGGGATGAATTCTCACTGCTAATCTGATCAGGTGAGTTTAATTTTTGCTTGTTTGGGTTGGCTGTTTTTGCTGAGGTTTACAACGAATATGCCGAGTGCGCGAGAGAAATTAGGTTTACGGCAGTTTCTAGGTTCACACGTGTTACATTCTCATTGGAAGGGATACCACATCATCACATGTGATATGGAATACCGGTAACACTAAATACTTTCTCCACGTGATAGTTATATATTTACTAGTGCATGGAATGTGAAACTTGGATTTAAGGTTGAGTTGGTTTTCCGTTAATATGACTACGTAAAAAAACAATAATATTCTTTCATGAGAAATTTTTTTAAAATTGTTGGTTTGTGGATTGTGGACGAGTCTAAAGTCAGGCAAGTGGCAACTCCTTCCAATGCAACAGGTTCAATACCGAATTCATCAATTTAGATGCATGAAGATAATCTTCAATCCTTCACATTTTCTTTCATCAAATTTTAATTTAAATTAGATGAAAAAGTGCTCAAAAATCATCTCCAGTCATTTCATCAAATCAAGTAAGACTCATTTTTTTCCATCAAATTGACAACTCATCAAATCCTTCATCAAATTTAAATTTGATGAAAATTTAAAAAGATGAAGCATTGGAGATGATTTTTTTTTTTTTTCCTTTCAAATTTGATGAAAAGGAAAATTTGGGATAAAAGGGGAATTTTTAAAATATCTTGATCAAAATTTGATGAAATGATTGTAGTTCATATCAAATCAAGCTTTTCACTCAAATCTATCAAATTAGATGAAAAAATTAGCAATGGGTTGGAGATGCTCTAACTGATAGAAACCATATAAATTTAAAGAACATACAAAAACCATAACGAATCACCAGCCATTACCGATCCAAAAACATAAAGATTCGTAACCCACTATAGTTCACTACCTGCAAAAGCAAAATATCAGTTGAGCATATCGTTTGCTCAACAAAAAACCACATTTCACTGAGCAATCATTTTCAATTTCTAGCCTCGGTACATATCGATCCAAAAAAAGCTCCGAAAGAAAAAGAAAAAAACAACAACAACACTCTGCAGACCCGAAGGACGATATAAAGATATATATATATAGAGAGAGAGAGAGAGAGTTGATATAAGCAGATACTGACTTAGGGTTTCAATTGGTTGCAAAATTTGTATGAATGCTTCGATTTTGAGCTGTTGCTTGGTGTGGTTTTCTTCAGTTTCCGCACACGAACGAGAGAGAGAGAACTGCAAATTTTTGGTGAAACGAAACCCTTACAACTACGCTAGGGTTTTATAGTCGTACATCAATGGGGACAGACCGGCCGTTCTCACAAACCCCAATAAACCCGGTTCGTAGGGATGTGAGAAAGAAAGGAAGTGGGGTGGTGAACCGTCGGGGAATTGGGTTCACCCATGACCCATCCATGGCTCTCATACCCGTTTCAATGCGCTCCGTCCAAGAAGGGCATTATCATCCATGGCTCTCATACCCGTTTCAATGCGCTCCGTCCAAGAAGGGCATTATTTGGGCCGCGCTAAGTTTATGAAACCAAAAAACAATGTCCATGCTGGGCCTGGTCTGACACTTTGAAGTGATCATTGAAGATACTTTTTTTGGGCCTTGTTTTTACTTTTTTTTTTTTTTTTTTTGGTTCGAAGATGTTGTAAATATGCTTTGTTTTTGAAACATTAGGCCTCGTTTGGGAACAGACTAATTTAATAACTTTTTGACTATGTGGCTAAAAAAGTAGGTAAAAAAAACTTATATGTTTGGGATGACTTTTTGGCTAATTATGAAAAAATGTGCAAAAAGTAGAGAGAAAAGAGAATCTTTGACTTTTTGGTATGAGTTGTTGGCTTTTTGGCTAAAAATGTAACTTTTTGACTTTTTGACTAAAAAGGTAAGTCCCCAAACGGGCCTGATAATTGATTTTTACAAAACTAGACTTTGTATTTCAAATCAACCTAACACAATAATTTGTTTTGTTCTTCTAAATTCATTGTCATCTTTCTTTTAACTTTATATGATCACCTAAATAAAATACTATTCGAGCAGTGACATGGAGATTAACTCTCTTCCCAATTCCTTCACGAGCAACAACCCAAAATGTTCTCCATATTGAAAGCAAAATGGGCCGAGTCACAAGTGAAACTGGTCTAAATATCATATGGAAAACATATTACAATAGTGTTGTATTTGGATCTTGAATTTTTATAAAAGGGATATTTTTTTTTTCTCTTGGTTTTTTAATTCTTGGAAATCCTTCTTGATGTTATGCCATGGAATCGTGTTTTTTTTTTCAGGCAAAAGCTAGGAACCCAAATTTACAGTCATAGAATTTGTTCAGAATTGACTTGTGTGGTGGGAATCAATTTGTTGAAGTGTGGAGTCATAAGTGAAATGAATTGCAACCATTAATAGTAATAATACATAGTTCTAATACTAGAGTTTTACATGGAGCTCTAGTGAGGTTGAAGAGTAGAGAGAGATAGAGAGAGGAGTGTGAGCTCCACCTTCACATGGGCACTCTCCACATCATTAGAGCTGCATTAGAGCTCTTAAATGAGTGATGCTAAAGATCCCAAATAATCTACCAAATTTTTTACCAAACTTCTCACATAGGTGTGGGACCCACACATATGTGGGTTTATATGGGTCTCACCCCATGTAAGAGGTTTAGTAGAAAATTTGATAGATTATTTGGGATCCATAACTTTTTTTCTCTCAAATTAGAGCTCTCAAACATTATTGAACCATTAACGGTTATTTCTAGATAAATTTAGAATAAAAATTTCTGAGTTTATAATCCCTCTCATTTTCTTTCTTTTAAGAAAGTGAAATAATATAGTGAGGAAGGAAAATATGCACATCTCCAAAGCAAATGCTGGGGCTAAATTGCTATATTTTTTCTTTGTATTTTTTTTTTTTTTTTTTCTCAAATTACAAATGGCAGTCAACGTTCACCAAAAATATCAAGACATATACAATTTTTTTAGATGGTCCCTTGATGTGCCTGTGAGATTATTCTTTTGAGCCAAACTATGAAGATACTATTATCATCTTTTATTTATTTATTTTTAATAATCAAGAATTATAGCATAGGCAAGATTCTTTGAACCCACTCTAAAAATGTAAATCTAAAAATCAAACAACATCCCAAATTGCATGATGTTGGAAAAATAATAGTTTTTTTTGGTGATTTTTATGCAATATTAAAGTAAGTACTAATTCTCAATTGAAGTGGAGTAAACTGAGTTTAGATTCTTTGTAGTGAGATCTTTACACCACAAAAAGAATGACAAAAAATATTAAGATTTGAATGAGAAATTGACTCGTTAAGTTGGCCTCATGATAGGAAAGGTGTAAAACCTTATATCCCACATTGATTGTAGATGAAAGCATTGATGGGTATTTAAATTTCATTTTTTGCTTAAGAGTGTGAGCCCTTTGGGGCATCCAAATTTTCCGAAGGAAGGGAGTTATAGATGCTTTAAGGATGGATTTGGGCCAAGACTATGGTCCAAGTTGGTTACGCAAAAATAATCATATGTTCACGCCGCCTGCCCGCAAAGACTAGGTCCGTGATCTTTGGACCTTGAGGCTTGCTGGAATGGATTGAGTGTGGGGGTTGGGCTTGGTCCACCCATCTTAATCTTTTTGGGCCAAGCCAGTATTGTAGGTTGCAGAATTATATACATTACACAGATATATAATAGGTGTGTAACTCCTCTATAATGATGATGATTTATTCCTGTAGTTTTGCAAATTTAATACAAAATTCATTTCTGTATTTGTGAGGGGCCTTGATGGCTGGAACCTCTTCCTCTCTCCCTCCATGTGTTTAAAAGGAGACCCTTCTCTTTCAATTTTCTACCTAGAATTTGTGTTCTTCTTGTATTCAAAAATTTCCTCTACCTTTATTTTTTTTGTAAGAGAGTGCTGCAAAGTTCTGTTCGCTAAAGCTACTTAATCGGTGTATTGCTGTAGTTGGTCCAACCGTTGTATCTTGGGAATAGACATCGAACAACCTCTAGATCCCAACCAGTGAGACGGCGAATCTGTTTTAAAAACACTGTCTAGTGCAGGTATAACAACCCCGACCTATGATTAACTACTAGACCATGATTAGACATAAGTAATTATGCCTGATGAGTAATTAAGATGAAATTCTGAATTAATTGTACGTGTGTTGCATTATTTGTGTTTTTATCTGTTCATGGTAGGAATATCTGTCTGTATTTCCGTTCTATTTTCCCAATTGAAGGCCTTATCGGTATCCAATTGTGAAATTGACTTGATATATGTGTTATTCGAAATTTTTGGGAAATTATGGTAAGTTTAATTAAAATTCGATTCGGAATGAGTTAATTAAAATTCAATCATGTGGATTAGTGAACTTAAGCCTAGCTTAATTAGATGCCACTAACCAAGCCTATATAAGGCTTGTTGTACTCAACACACACAAGTTACACACTTGCATTCCTTCATATTTGAGCTCATAAACGTAAGTGAGAGAGAGAGAGAGTGAGAGAGGGACTTAGGAAATTAAGTTCAAACACTTGGATGTTGTAGAGACTTGGAAGAGTTGGCTTAGAGACTCAACAATTAGCTAACTAGAGCTCAAATAGACATCTAAGGTATGAAATCAAGCTTCTAACTTTGAAATTTAGTTGGTTAATGCATGGAATCAAGTGAGATAGGTGAATTAACTTGAGAATTAAGCTAGAATCAGAGAAATGAACTCAAATCATACATGCATGCATATTTCATAGCATTTTGAAGTTGTTTCCCAAGAATTTCCTCATGCATGTTACTAATTCACCTTAGTTTTGGGAATTCATCTAGTTTCATGTCATTTTGTGTCATTAGATCATGTTTTGGAAGTTTTGAAGTCAAGGCAATACATGCATGTTATGTTTTCTAAGAATTGAGTTTTGTTTTGCACAATTGGCTAGTTTTGGGCTTGATTTTGCGAAATGATTTAGAATTCCCAATATTTTCCAAGTTCACATATGATTCCTCAAGTGTTTGGCCCAAAAGGATGAGTTTTGGAGCATTTGATTTGAGTTTGGAAGATTGGAGATAAATCTGGAAATTCCAGAATTCGACCTCTCCGCTTGAGCATCAGATCCTGCGCTCGAGCGACCACATTTGTTTTTGCACCTCCGCTCGAGCGACTGAAAGTTGGCCCGAGCGTAAAATGCATGATCCCAGAAATTCACATGTGTTTGCAGACCATTCGAGCGACAAGAGTTGCACTCGAGCGAGAACCTAAGTCTCACGCTCGAGCGATCGCCAAACGTTCGTCGAGCGTGAAAATCACACAACCGGTACGTTTACAGACTGCTCGAGCAAAAGAATGTTCGCTCGAACAACCACTCACATTTTGTATGTCCGCTCGAACGAAGGAAGTTACGCTCAAGCGGGACCCCTATTTTCAACAAGTTTTGTTAAATGTGTTCAAGTGCATTTTAGCATCCTTATTCCATCTTAGACATTCCTAGGCCAAAATTAAGACATAATAATGAAGATAATAAGTAAAACACACCAAGATAAGAAAGAACTAAGTTAATGATTCTGATTGTGCAATTCAGTATGTGTTCATTCTGTAACTGTGTAGGTCACGCGCCACAAGACATTTGATTTGTCTACTCTGTCTGTTTGCTTTGGAGCCAACTGTGAGTAATAGCTTAGTAAAGCTACGTTCAACTTTATTTATTTTTTGTATATAGAATAAGACCTGTTTTATGAAATGTTATGTTCTGTACAATGAATGATTGTCCAATTTCTGACAAGTACTCATGGCAACAATTCCGTGGTTCAAGTATGTTATCTGTTCTCAGTATTGGAGGTTCCTTCATTGTAATAACCCTGACCCATGATTAACATTAATCCATGATTTCATTTGTTTAATAAGTTATTAAGATCAAATTCTGAATCAATTACATGTGTGTGGTATTATTTGTGTTTATATCTGTTTAACGTAGGAAAGGTCTGTTTATGTTTTCATTTCGGTTTACGAATTGAAGGTTTCGTCGGCATCCGATTCAGAAATTGACTTGATTTATGTGTTAATTAGAATTTTTAAAATATTATGGTAGGTTCAATTGAAATTCAATTCGGAACGATTTAAGTAGAATAATTTAATGTCTAATTGAGTATTTTGACCAACCACTTAATTAAACCATTACTTTAGCCTATATAAGGCATTGATAGACCCTCATTCATACCTTTACACTCTCATATCTTCATTCATAGTGATAAAAACGTGAGAGAAGGAAAGAAAAGAGGAGA